GACGCCGTTCCAACTGGTACACGGCCGGACGGTTACCACGATGCTGTACGCCATGCTGCCTCACGTGCCAACCGATGATGGCAACTTCGACGCTCAACTGATCTCTCAACGTGCGGAAAAAGCTCGTCAACTGGCAAGAATCAAGATTCAAGAGCAACAGCGAGTCCACGCACGCCGGTGTAACCTTCGTCGCCGGGCCGTCCAATTTTAACTCGGAGACCGGGTGTGGGTGTGGACACCGATCCGCGGCCGTGGTCTCAGCGAGAAACTAGTGAAGCGCCACTTTAAAAAAAAACTACAAAGTGCTTTGTCGACTCGGGGATCTGAACTACGAGGTGCTGCCCGATGGAACACGGACTTCATCACGCCGCCCTCCACGACCAGAGTCGTCCACGTCGTGCGCATGAAGTTGTACTACGCTCGATAGGACTGTGGACCTTATATGTTCCAAATGACTCTTTAGTTTACCGTTATTTCTGTTTGCTTTGTTTTCGGTTTGGGCTGCGTTGGGACGATGCGCTTTTTAAGGGGGGAATAATGCCGCGCGCAGGGGCCACGAACTAGCAGAAGGTTCTTGTTTATTCCTGCTGCGGACATAATTTCTATCGTTTATCCCTGCTTTTGTTGTTCTAGAAAGTGCTTGTTCATTCTCGCTTCGAGCGCGCTACGCTGGAACCTTCCCCGCCGAATCTTTGAGATAGTAGACACTTTTAGTTGGGCGTACGCAGGAAGCTTGCGTAAGCAACCTTCGGTGCGTTGCGTATGCAGCAAGTGGCGCGTCCACGACACTTTTAGTTCGACGCGTTTGACGTGCGTTAGCGTTCTTCCAACTGGATATATAAAACAGACCCGCAGATGCTTTATAGTGTATTTTAGCGCCATCCAGCGCTAGAGGAAAGAACTGTTTTTTCAATCTTTCAAGTATTGACCGAAAGTAGCCAAGCCAAGCCGTAGGCTTAGCCGGTTCCTTCGTTCTGTTGTACGGTGATTTATTGCAATGCCTCCAAGAAGTATCTTGTCAAACCCCCAAGTTGCCTCCAAGCTGACGTGGGCGTAGATCGACGATCTTGTGACGCTAAACGTGCGACCGCAGTTACGCAGCTATTTCTCGCTGGACGAGTTGGAATCAGTGTTGTACGAAACGGCGTTCCAAGGAACGGCGTTCCTGGAATGCGTTTCTTTTAGGAGGAACGAAGGAACGCCGCCGTTCCATTTTGCATCGCTGGAACTGGAACGGGCACGCGTTACATTGTTACTGGAACGGAAAGAGTACCGGCGTTCCTTTTTTTCGTCCAGTGGGGTAATTTTTATTTTGTTTCGAACAGGGAAATTTTGAAAGTACAAAAACAATATCTTTACGAAGTGCAGGATCTCGTTACCTTTTTGGCTACTAACCTTGTGGATTATTTTGTGTGGTCCTCGCTTGCTAACAGTTTCAGGAGCAGGAGAGCTGGTGGACATTGATTCTTTCTTGAGTGCCCGAAAACGCGGTACAAAAAGCGAGGCTTTTAGTCGTAGGAAAAGACAAAGAAAGAGGGTTGTTTGAAGCTCAGCTACTTTCTTTGGTTCCACGAATCCTCATACACCCAAAAACCTAAGGCCGACTACAGCCACTTGTGAACTTCCATAACGGGACCTACAGTTACAACAAGATCACAGGCTGCCAGACATCAAACGCACCCTCGTATCCCGAACATTAGCCACTTAAAAGATACAAAAAAAAATTATTTCTTCTCTTCCTCCCCCCCTTCGAAATAAACAACAAAGCCAACCTTACAAAGAAGTATTCGTAGTTTTTAAGACTGACCTTCCAAAAGCCTTACCCTCTCCTGGACTTGTTCATCTTGCGGACGGCAACATCGAGAAGCAACTGTTGTTAAGTTGTTCGAACAAGGAACTTTGCTCAATTGAAACGAGTGAGGTTGCTGTAAAACACTCATACAATGTTCTGAAGAGTACATTCGGCTGGTCTGAATCGTCCACTACAAACATGAATCTGGTTAAAAGCTGAGATTTTGAGCTTGAGTATATCAACAGATGAAACCCTGCTTCCGCTTGTTTTCTTCTCCTGTTGCACTTCCATAACGACATACAAACACGTATGTTGACTAATATTGGAATAGATAAAACAAAGAAAACAAAAACTCTGTTTGATTGAACTAAATATATTAATTAGCAAAATAAAAATATAACGTATATGTAACGATATGTTCCATTTTTAAGCTGTAACGGGAACGAGTTCCTTTTTCACAGATGTAACTTGTAACGGGAACGCGTTCCAAAAATCAGAAGGAACGAGCTTTCGTTCCTTTTTTTGAGGAACGTGTACAACACTGGTTGGAATACAAGATGAGGTGCAGCAGAGAGTCCGGAGTCCTCAGGTCGAACCGCCCGCGCACACTGCGGGAGCTGAACGGCTTGGCGAGAACTGCCTTGAGCCTTACGGCTTTTTCTTCCCATTGGTCTGGGTTCCTGAACGGATCACTGGCTTGCACTTCCAGCAGTAACGCTATATCCGCTTTCAGCGTATAAAACACGCGATTTCCATTAGGAGCGGCGTCGTTTCCACAGCCGTTTCCTGTGGCAGCGGCCATCTTGAAATGCGCTCTCGTTCGGCCGAGATCTCGCGAGACCGTCCCGCAGTGGCCCGCGGGACCCGCACGCAGCGTCTGACTGCGTGCGTACGCACGCCGGCAGCACAACGTTACGTTACGTTCTGCGCAGGCGCACTCGCGGCCCGCAACGTTCCTGCGTACGCAAGCTCGTTGCGTACGCCCAACTAAAAGTGTCTAGCGATTCACTTTAGATAAGAGGCTGCCCGCGACCTTGTCGAGTAAGTTTCGCCTCAGCGTTCGACCTGCTACTTCGCCGCCTTCGACGCCCGCGACGCTCTGTTGTAATCTTTCTTTTCCCTTTTATTTTTGGGCACAAGTTCGCCCCACTAAACGTTCAGTTTACTCTGTCATTCGCCGCCTCGCCACTTATCATCCGTTACAATTGACGAGGCGATAATCCGTAATATAGAGAATATTTTCGAGAAAAAACTGGAAAAATACACGCATTTCTGTCTTGTTAATATGGACAAATCACAATATGGAGAATTTTGGGGGGAACGGAGAAGTCCATATTAACGAGACATCAATGCCTACGGTTGTCTAGTCCGCTCTCACGCACTGGCGTTCTAAACATCTTTCATGGCGGTCTTCTTAGCGGATACCCCACCGTGGTGGTGGCGGCACAGCTCGTCCACACCGAATCCGAAACAGTTTCAAAGAGTTATTTCATTTCTCTTGTTTCCGCGATTTGTTCTCTGTTGTATTGTTTTTCCAAGGCATAGATAAATATCATCATCAACCTTTCCCAATGTTGTGTATGCAGGTCGTCTTGCTCGCATTCTTGGTTGTATAATATTTACGTAGATTAAAGCAAGCATTCTGAAATGTAGGTATGCAGCGCCTTTCGTTGAAGAACCAGTTAGCGTTGCCCGGACCGTCGGAATCGCAGGTGATTGGTTTCCGGTACACGCTAAAAAAAGCACGAGCGTCTACGTTCCCGCACAACACTCGAAGAGCCAATCACCGCAACTTACAGACGCAGCTCAGCGAATGGCGATGCCAAAGCAAGTTTGGACCAAGAAACGCAATTTGAGTTGTGACACTAAGCAATGCAAAACGTCACGCTTGCATTGCTTAATGTCACAACTCAGACAGCGTTTTTTGGTCTAAATATATGTTTCGGCATTGTAATTCGCAGAGATGCCTCCATAAGTAACGGTGATTGGTTCTCCGAGTGTTGTGCGGGAACGTGGACGCACGGCTACTTTTTAGAGTATACGGCGAACAATCGTGCTTACGAGGTCGACGTGTGCTCGGATATGGATCCTCGCAGAGCTTCTAGGATGCTTGATTGTTCTCTGCACGATCGCAGATGTTGTCCCACCTTGGAACGCAGTGCAGTCCGTTGAAGAACTGGTGGGGGTGTGGAGGAAGCTTTATCTGAAATAGCAGGAAACGCTTTTCCGCCCTCCACAAATGTTTAAACAGTTCGCGACAAAGCAGAGCAATATCACATGAGCTCCCTAACACCGAATCTAATGCTGAGGAAGTCGCACTTTTGAATCATGACGATCGGCAGTTGCGTCTGCTCTGCATACGAGCCAAAATGGCGGCGCCCACAACAATGCCGGGGATCGGAGTGCCGATACTCTAAGCGCAGCTCATTTAGTGGCTCTGATTGGCCGATATATGCTCGAACATCTCATAATCCCTCTGCAGCCAATCAGTGTGCGGCATGAGCCCATAGGAACGCCCAAGGACCAAGCAGAGAGCGAGTAACGCGAATTACGATCACAGATCATGCCCCTATCTTTCTTTAGGTGCACATGACTATAATCGTTTTATTGTTGTCGGCTTTGTTTTAACGCTGTCTCTTTTTTTTTTTTATTTAACGCATGTTATGCTTTGCTGATGTAACTTTTGTTCTTGTCATATATTTTTTTTTTAGAACAGCAAGAACTGACCAGGTAGATTTTTTTTTGTTTTTTTGCCTTTTTGCTTCTGGAAGGTTAAAAAAATTATTCTTTCAAATGTTCACTCCTCATAATTACTTACAGCGCGACTGGGACAAGGACAGACAGAGGAGAAACACAGAAACACAGGACAAGCGCTGAACTAGCAACTGATTCTATTGAAAAGAAAAGACATGTGATGCTGCTGCTGCTCGTGCAGGCATGCCCCTCCGTGGCCCTGGCGCTTCTTCTTTCACTCGATGCGAAACCGGCCAAGTTATCCGAGATCCAAAAAGCCGATCTCGCTCTTCATCAAAGTCACTGTGGGCTGGCTCACACACAAGGATCCGGTTTTTGTTATGTGGTACGTCTCCATCATTTCTCGGGGTAGTTTGTGGTTGTGTCGGAACATCACTGTAGTCTTGTTGAACAGGGGTTGGCATCCGCAATCCCGGCAATGCATCGCGAGATGCGTGTGAGCGGTTCCTTTCATAGAACTGTGGTGTTCTCGTAGTCTTATGTTGAGGCAACGCCCAGTCTGTCTTATGTAGGCACGCCCGCAGGAAAACGGAATCTTGTAGACCACGCCTTCTATGCAGGCGACAAACTGCATTCCGTGTTTGATGCTGCAGCCGCTGTGAGACTTGGGATCGTTATTTCTCGCGCGTTTGTTGACTGCGGAACACACAGAGCTGAGCTTGTGGCGGGCGGAAAAAACAACATTCACGTTGTATCTTGAGGCGACTTTCTTGAGTCCGTGGGAAAGGCGGTGGATGTACGGTATGACTGAGGTTTTCTTTTTCTCTTTCTGCTCGAGGTCACGTTGCTCGATCGCGGGTTCTGTTTTAAGGTGTTTCACGATTTTTTCGCAAGCTGAAGAAATGACCGAATTAGGATATCCCGAATCCTTGAGCCGTTGAATTTGGGACATGAAGCTGGAATTCAAATTGTGGATGCATGTGCTTGTTAGAGCAGTCCTCAGACAGGCAAATGCGATGCCTTGTTTGACGAGTTTGGAGTGGGCTGATTGAAAGTTAAGAAGAGCCTTCGCTGTTCTGGGACTGTCACACCAGCAAACATGATCGTCCCCCACTTCGATGCGGAGATCCAGGAACTGAATGAGGTTCTGTTTTGGGGCTTCATAGGTGAAGTGAAGTCCTAGCCCCTTTTCCGTGAAGATCTTCAGCACATCGTCAAGCTTCTGCTGGAAATTAGCCCTCTCAACGAACACCAAATAATTGTCTACGTACCTAAACACTTTTTTGGTGTTTTTCTCCAAGCAGGGTTCAAGATCCCGATCGATCTTGCCCAGGAAGATGTTACTGAGCACAGGAGCTACTCTAGAGCCTATGCATACGCCAGACTTCTGTATGTACACCTTGTCCTGCCATCCGATGAGTGTGGACTTTAAATAAACGGACAGGAGTCCGAGAAAGTCTTCTATCGTAATCCCGCATCGCGTCCTGAAGGCGCTTTCGTCGTTGTGTTCTGTGATGCACTCCTTGACACTAACCATGAGGTCGTCGTGTGGCATGGAATAATATAATTCTTCAACGTCGATGCTGAACGCGCTACATCCGTGTGGGTTACTGACATTTAGAAAGTCAACAACCGCCTTGGAATTGGGGACGCACATTGGGTCTACAATATGTAGGGAGTCGAGGTGCCTTTGCAAAAAGCCCGAAATTGCGTGTAACCAAGAATTCCGCTCGGAGACTATGGTGCGAAACGGGACGCCTGGCTTATGGGTTTTTGCCGCGAAAAATACGTCTAACGTGAGGTTTTTTCCTTTCTTTGCTCCTGCAGCAACACTGGTCAGGTTCAGTTGGTGAAGAAATTTGATGGTGCATTCCTTCACCTTGGCGGGACGATCGGAGACCGCTCTAAAGTTTTTTAGTACGGCTGTTGTCGCTTTTTCGGAGAACGTGCCGTCGGGCATGATGACAAAGCACACTTCTTTGTCGGACAACATTATGTTCATGCTGTTGGACGCGAGAAAGTCAATCACGGGCTCGAGGCCTTTGGTTCTTCGGCACCCTCCTTCGGATCTCCACAGGACGTCCACACAATCAGCAACGCACCTTGGTCTGTCCTCTTCCGGTGTTGCTCGTGAGATGGATCTCGACATGACCAACTTGTCTACTCTTCTGAGCATGGGCTCGAGGCAGAACTTAGGTCCTTTTTTCAAAATCTTTAGGTGACTGTCTGGGACTTGAAGATCCCCGAGGATGACAACGTTACCTTCTTTGGCCTTAGTCCTCTTCTTGGGAGGCAGTGTAAGACGCACCTGGGTCCAAAGAAACTCAGTAACCTGGGCAGTGGTCCTTGACCATTCTTGAAAAAGGCGGGATGCTTGAGGATGAGTAAGCCCCCGGGGACAAGCGATACGGAGGCAGTCCTTAAAAAAGCGGACCTGCTGCCACCACTCCGAACACAAGATGCGACACAGCCTGCTGGAGTGCCTCGGAGACGGAACCATCCACCCTCGGCTGACGAGTTAAATAGGCTGTTCACTCCTCGGCTGAGGAGTTAAATAGGGCTTAAAGCAGTTTCAGGCATTACGCTAAAATACCGTGTTTTTATCTTCAAATTAGAGTCCGCAGTAGGTTTCTGCGGAAAGGAAGAAAGGTGACCAAATTTGGGGTCAAGGATTAAAGTTTTAGCTTATTCAATAGCCGTGCACGCCATGCATGTCCCGCACTTGGTGCCTATAATCCGAAAGCAAACATTATTGCAAAACGCACCTTGACAAATATCTGCTTTCTTAGCTCACAAAGGATCCTGTTTTATGCATAAGTCATCAATAACATAATCATTTCTTCACTGAATTTGTCACGCCTCGTCAAGATAAAAATTAAAAAGAAACAAGATTCCTGAATTTAGCGCAACCTGTACATTGTACGCACGCGTAATATTTTAACCTTCAAGCTCCTATGGTCCGTGCCCTATAGTACAAAAAAATAGGGTACTTTTCTTATGAAAGCAACTACAACCTGCATTTCCTTAAATAGTTCCAATAGATAATTCGAGGCTCGGATCATTAACGTCGTATATCGCTTGAGCACCACACTGGAAATTCGATGCCTCCGTTACAGGTAGATTTACAGTCGTGTTATTTCTCGATCCTTCATTTAATATCAGCTGTTGAAAACGAGTCCTATCCAATGAGGTAGCCAATTAATTTCTATCCCTCAACATGAGGCTACAAACATTGGCTGGTAGTTACAGTATAAATGTTCAGCTGTACCACTAATGCCCTAGTCCAACTAGAGCGATAAACAGAAACAAATGACAGCGACGAGCCTCAAACCAGAGTATTTAGAGATTGAATGGGCTTTGTAGAATAAAGGAGGCTATGCTCAGACACGAGCATCATTCACGCGAGTGTATCTTCGGCACGTTTGTAATCGCTAGTGCTTCACGAGTACTGAACGATTAAACGCCTGCCACAAGTATCATTGCGAGCATACTGCGTGTGTTTTTAGGCTTGTCGCTGTCGTTTGTTTCTGTTTGTCGCTTTAGTGGTACTCGGGCATAACTGTAAGACCATCACCTGTATACCCTCCACGCAAAATGCAGCACACACTATTATCACCCATACGAATTCTAAAATGGCAGAAATTCATCCAGAGATACATTCTCAGCACCGTGAACTGCGTTTGCTATATGCCAAGAAAATAAATAGATGAATAAATAATTTGTAATATCTGCCATTTAGAAACAGAAAGTATTGTGATTAAAATCTAAAAACAAATGGTACAGGAAAAAATAGCTCATAGCGTCTTGGTTCTTCGCCAAAAACAAAAACGAGGGTCATCAAAATGAGAACAAATCGTAAGAACGCTTTTATAGCTGACTTCCAAACAAAAGTCACTGCTGATACTTAGGAGCATTCTAGGTACGCTTCTACGTTGGTAAGAAAACTTCGAGTGCTGATATCAAGCGCATCAACTGCTGCGCGCGGCCTGATGAATTCGTCGAATCTGTGTGAGCATAAAAATGTTTTCCTCGAGATTATTTTCAAATGTTCAGGTAATAAAGGCTGTATTATGTTGAGCACGCTTTTTGATGACTAACTCAGTCAGAGGACATTAATCAGTTTTCTTTTAGGCTCTTTGTAGTATACTTTTTCTTCCAAAATTATTTGAAGATCTTAGCAAAAAAAAAAAAACATATGCACCGCTACGGGCAATCGTCCTTATTACCACTCGAAATACTTATATAAAAGAAAGATCTGAAAAATAGGTACTTCTTTCAACGGACTACCGAATCTTGAGTGGTTCAAGAGAATCAGTTTGAACATTTACGCTTATGCTCACGAAACACACAAAATAATTTAGGGCTGTGCGCGACAGCTACTTAATTAAGGTGTTACTACTAAAATAATTACTAATCAGGGGGAAGAGAACCGTGCAATTTGCGTGCAATCTGACAAGAGAAGTATGGTAGACAAGCAGAGTCCAAATGCAACTGTACGTTGCACATTAAGAAAATGGCGTATAATGTCCGTCATAGCGCTCTTTCGTACTGCACTCCGAAATGTGGGTTTAATAGGTGTGCATGTGTTTTTCTTTCAATCGTAACCGCAGGTCGGACAAATTAACTACCGGCCTTATTTTAGTCACCCCGTCACGATCTCTGCGCATATTCTTCGACACCCTCCGTCCCCCAGCCTAAATACTGTCACCGTAAGCTTTAAAAAAATATTTTAGATACTTCTTCAAGTAACCTTAAGTTATTTCAATTAATACCATATACCTTGGGACCCTGTTGCACGATCGTGCTGTGCGGGATGGAATGGTACCGTCACTTACCTGGGACGGCGTGGTTAATTCTCATAACCGTCGTAGTTGGCGTTGTGAATGCCACGGGCGACCGCCACCTGAGCTCGGTAATCAATGAAGTAAGTGTGTAAGCGCGGCCAAAGTTTCTAAAACCATCCAACATTACACCTAGCAACTAGATAGTGCCGATTTGGGGCTACCCATAACGCGAGTAAAGTTAAAAAAAAACAAGTCTTTCAAGCAGACGACACGGAAGACGTCCCTTTTCTTCGGGTCATTACTGAAGAGATCGCGGGGTGGCCGATGGGGAATCCCGACCTCCCTTGCCTCTCACCAAGAGCGGTAAGAACTGTTTTTTCCGTACCGGCGACGACGGGAGAGGAGGTCGAAATATCTGCTGCGTCGCCAGTAAAGCAATCGCGTTAAAAAGAAACGCTGTGTATGTTCTCGTGTGTACGTGTGTGTGTGCGCGCGCGTGTGTGTATCTGCGCGTGTGTGCACGTGTGTGCGAGCGCGCGTGTGTGCACGCGCGCCTGTGCGTCTTTGAGTGTGTGCGTGTGTGTTAATGTGTGTTTGTGTGTTTTCTTTACAAATGTTGGTGCATTTCGGTGACACGTTCCGGAAGGACGCTAAACAAGGGGATTATCTATGAAAAACTCCCACTAACTAAAAGCAGGCCTAGGCCCTATTGGAAAGACCAGTTCAAACTGGTAACAGCTTCAAACTTGGTTATTGCTCCAGTTTGACCAGTTTCATGATGGTTGAACTGGTCAAGGTGGTTCTAACTGGTCACACTGGTTGACTGGTCATGGCGGTTGAACTGGTCATACCGGTTGACTGGTCATAATGGTTGAACTGGTAATGGTGTTTGAAATGGTCACACTGGTTCGGCAAAAAATATTTTAATTTGTTTACGCCACCACCCTGCTTCGGAGATCTTTGTTATACACAAATGTAGACATAACACGCCTACTAGCATCGGCTGAACACACATTGAGCGCATACACATACACAGCACACACAAACATCAATTCAATGGCACACTAACCCGATCACTACTTCCGAGCTCTGCGTGCCCGTCTTCTATACTGGTAGCTTTCAACGTACGAAATTTTTTGGTGACCGCCTAAGCAATAAAAAATATTCCCAGGATGTTGATTTTTTCCCAGCAATTTCATACCTCTGAAAGTATTTTGAATGCCTCAGGGGATAAATCTCTTAGTAAAAAGTAAACGCTCGATCATGCCGTAAATATTTAAACTCAATGAATCGAAGTGAGGAAGCCAATAAATAAAAAGAGAAAGAGTGGTCAAACTGGTAACCAGTTTTATCAGGTAGGCCAATCTGGTGACCAGTTTGGTCAATCAGGTTACCAGTTGGACCAGTTCGGCCAGTCTGGTGACCAGTTCGGCCAATCTGTGACCAGTTCGGCCAATCTGGTGACCAGTTAGGCCAATATGGTGACCAGTCAGGCCAATCTGGTGACCAGTTAGCAGGCGATCTGGTGACCAGTTAGATCAATATGGTTACCAGTTAGACCAGTCTGGCTACCAGTTGCACCAGTTTGATTTCCTGTTAGACCAGTCTGACCAGTCCAAATACCAGTTTGACCAGTCCAAATACCAGTCTGACCAGTTAGATTTTCAAACTGGTCTTTCCAATAGGGGGAGGACAGTGTTTTGTTCAAATTTAGTCTTAACTGATGCAAGAAGTTCTAAAAATTTGTGTTTTGCCGGGTTAATTTGTTTTTACATTTTTTCACCTTTTTTGGCTTTTAACTACGCATCGCTGAAGGCTCATTTTTCTCCCGAAGGTAACGCGAGAGGTCCGAACCAGTTTACAAATTTTCAGCACGAATCGATATTTAATTGAAATTTTAGGAAAAATGGTGGCCGACGGGAGGTTTCGAATACATGGTGCTCTACGGCGCCACAAACCGAAAACGAGCGAAAATGGGCCCCATTTTTCCATTGAAAGTTTTATAAAATCACTCTAACTTTTGAATAAACATCGGTTTGTGCTGAAACTTTGGCGTCTGGTTTGGAACTGTAGCGCTACCCAGAGCCGTGTATAGAGAGGGTGTGGTCAATGGGAAGCGCGGGCAGAGCCAGGGTGTGCACCAGACGCAGAAAGAGGGCTTGGCATGCTCTCTTGACCGACCAGAAGCCGAAAAGAATCCGCTAGCCGTAGTAGCGAGAAAGAGTTTCAATCATCGGTATATGGTTTCGATAAGCGCGTAAGAGTTAAATGTAGTAACTCTTCATGGGCAAAAATAAGTTGCACGTGATGTTTACATCATGATCATGCAGAATGACGTAAAAAAAGAATGTGCCGCACGAACTCTGTTGTGCTTAGACAGAGTGTGACCACTCGGACGGAAGGTTCTTGGATCTCGGCACATGGCTTACGGATTATAGAGAGTTTTCGAAGATCGTTTCCGCCGTCCCGCTACGCTTTCCGCAACCCGCTACAAGATTCGGGTTTCTTCGGTCACGGCGGGCGG